AGGAATAAATGTGAGCACCAGAACTTGAATCCTGATGAACTGGAGATACCACAATCCCTCTAACCATCCAAACACAGGTTGGTGTTCGATGTCTTGGTCGAGGTGTTCTTGCCCGGGTTCCCTTACAATGTCATATTCCAAATATATGTCACTGGCTTGCAGTTGTAGCATGTTAATAGTGTCTGCCGAGCCGCTTCTGTGTCTTGGGTTCTATACTTCTAGATTTGTCCACATGCGGTCATGTTTGTAACGGTTTTAGCCTGTTTTTTTTCATTAATTAGCCTAGTAACCTAGAAATTCTTCTTAACGGTGCTCCCTTATTCACTATGTATTTAATAGACCTTACATTGTTGGAAATCATATCATGTTTGCGTAGTTGATGCCATAGTGGATACATGACTTACAAAAGTGGATTATATCTTTTTTTAAGGTAAACTGGGTTATATCAATCAACCTTTGGTTTCGCGTTTCCTACTCTGTTTGCAAGAATACTTGGAATAACCTATTTGCATTTTGAGACATCATGAATATAGGCCCATCATATTTATGGATTTTCCTCTGTTCATTTTTTAATGTATTTTCCTCAATTCATAATGTTTTGTTTTCTGTCTCATTTTCTCGACCGGTTTTAATTGACATGCATATAGTAGCAAGTTTTTCACCTAAACCAAGTTGTGACCAAACTGTGCATTTGTTTGTAGACCGTTTGTTTGCTCTCAACAATTTCCTCCCTACCCTAACCCTCAGGCTATTGTCGAGGAGGCACTAAAAGGTGTGATAAAAGCAAGAAAACGGAATACTCTTCACTGAATATTTTAAATTATTTCCTTTGCTTTCAAATTTTTATCATTGGGGAGAAATTTCAACGCTTTTGACGAATGTGTCATCTAACTGAAAATTTTCAATTTAATTGTAGAAGTAAGAGAAGATAGACACGCCATCCGTGGTAGGAGCTTGTCGTACTAGAGAACGAAGAACAGAGAGAGCATACAAGAACAAGGAGAGCAGAGAAGAGAATAGCCTCATAGTTTAGAGAGGTTGAAGATGCATGCGGCGGAATGTGGCGCAACAAAAAAAAATACATTTAGTACAAAAAAATGCCTGAGAATGGATTTTTTTTCTTCAACAGTGGCCCTTGGAACTTTTGATTTTTTTTATATACTTTCAATGTCTTTTTGTACTTGCAAGGTTGTTGCTTTTTCTATTATGTGTTCACAGAAAAAATTGAGTTTTTTAGGAACATTGAAATGCCATTTTTTTAATCCAGGGTCCACTCCTTAGGCATTTGCTACATAGAAGGGAGTTATTTTTCTTTCTTACTTTTTTTTCCTATTTTAGTTGGTTTTTCTTATCACATTTTCATTTTTACGTTTGTTTTGTATTTTCTATTTCTGTTATGTTTTTGTTTTAATTTTATTTTTCCACATTTGTCACTCTTTTGGGGGTAAATATACGGACATTTTTTTAAGTATATGAACGTATATTCATACCTCATGAACAACCATTTTTAAAACATATTTTTCTCAAATATAATAAATATTTTTGAAACATAAATGAACATTTATACTAACATACGTGCACGATTGTTTTGCTATATAGTACGATCTTTAATAATTTTAATTAGATCGTTGAGAATATTTACAAATTCTATTGAATAGAAAGCTTCTAATATAATTGTATAGCTATACGTAATGTAGTACTTTTCAAACAATGTAGTAAAGTAGTATTTTGGATAGTATAAAAATTATTTTAAAATTATTATGTTTTGTAAACAGTATTACTACATTATTATTTTTAATTAGATCTTTGAGAATATTTTCTATTGAATAAAAAGTTTCTAGTATAATTGTATAGCTATACGTAATGTAGTAGTAGTTTTTAAATAATGTAGGAAAATACTTGCTCCATCTCAATGTATATGACGTTTTTATAGGCTAATATTCTAATTGATAATATGTTCTGTGGTCATCTAATATAATAGTTTGTTTTCAAATAATTGTTGTATATTCTATATTGTATCATGTTTTAGACGTTCTTATACTTTGAGACAGGGGTAGTAATATTTGGGATAGTACAAAAATTATTTTAAAATTACTATGTTTTGTAAACAGTATTACTACATTATGTACAAGGTTTTACTTAGAGGCGTAGAATAACTATTTGTAATAATGTTTGCAACAAGCTAATAGGATGTGCCTTTTTCCCTTTACGTGAAAAATAAGCCGTGTTAGTGTTGGCTATCTTGAGAGAGCTTTTGCCTCCCGAAAATCCTATACCTTCGAAAGCAAGTTATAAAAATTACCTTATTGTGAACATGTGTCATCCTCTCATTAATCCCCCCA